CAGGAATTCCAATAACCTAACCAAAATTGACATCGATAACAACTCCCTAAGCACTCTAATGAAGAGATTCTCCCACCAAAAAACAGTAACAAAGCCAGGTATTGTTAAGGCACTCTTCAAGCTTGAAGCATGTTTACAGTGGCATAAATAAACTAGTAATCCAAATCAGTGCACACTAATGCTGTGCCACCATTTTATTGTGTACACCGAAATACATATGCATCAGAAGAAGTCAGTTCTGAAGATAACAGTGGAACTGTCACTGCCTCATTCGTAAACATTTCATCAGTAAAAGATTAGATATTCAATTTGAAAGAAGATTAGTGTTCATTCAGATAAGTGTTGACTTTCCAATTTTTCTCTTCATTAAAGCTGGGCCTGCAGCTTTTAACTTGTTCAATCAAATGTATCAAGTAAAATTGAAAGAAAAAGACGTGCATCATTTCAAATGAACAATGCTCTCAAGCTGATTATAGCCCTTGCCTTAAGTCCCTGTCAGATGATTGCAACTGATCTCATCAGTTAATGGACTCTTGAGATTGGGACAATCGATAATGCTCAATTGTTCCAAGTTTGGTGCAATGCATAAGCCATTGGAAATGCTAATGAGTTCAGGCAATGCAGATAAGGATATCCTTTTCAACTTGGGGAGGAGGTATGTACTCTCGTAAATAGAAGCATCTTCACACCTCACTAAACTTAAGACCAGGGGGCAATCTTTGACTTTGAGCTCTTCTAAGTTATCAAGGTTTTCCGGTAGGCCAGGTGTGAATACAGTAGTCAACCGTGGACATGTGAGTAAGGCCAAGCATTTAAGACGAGACAAGCATCCTTGATGCAGTGGCCTCTCATAAATGCCCCTCAAACTCTTCATACCATATACATAGAGATACTCGAGTGATCCAAGAAACCTCTTATCATCCTCCCATGTTTTCCAATACAATTTCACTGCTATCGGCTTCATCGTACTTGTCAGTTCCATCCACAATAACCTAAATCTCATTGCACTTTCCCATTATGCAGCATTTCAGTTGCTCCATGTTCTCAATCCCAATATCAGAAAACTTAGTGACATCCCTATGGCGGTCTAAGAAAAATGCAGCAGTAAGCCGGACCATCTTCTGGATATCTATGGGTACTCCCACACCATTTACATATTTCATGGATCTATCCCAGTTTTCTAACTCAAACTCAAGATCCTCTGGGAGATGACACATTATGCATTTAGCATGTTTGCCAACAACAAATTTGAAATGCAACAACGATCTAGACACCTTTGATGTGCCAAACCATTTCCTTAGATGTTCCACTTGTCGAAAGTACAGTTTAGGTGTATCCAGCCTCATCAAGCCACAAACATCGTCAACAATAGCTTCCGCAACACTTTCCCACCTCTCATCCTCTGGATGTACATCAATACTTAGCTCTTCTAATTGTGATAGGGCAGAAATAGTGCCTTGACGAATCAATGCATTCGCTTTTGCAGATTCTGTGCCACAATATATGCGTGGGCAAAAAGATACTTCTAAGAAAGTGAGTTTTGTTAGCTTCACAACCTCCTTTGGCAGATCCATGATCGTAGTCCCTTCACGATCAAATATCTCAAGCTGCTGAAGTTCTCCAATTTTTGGATGTAACACACTCAATACCTCACAATCAAGGACTTGATCCGAGTTCGGGATAAATTCAGGTTTTCGAGAGCCGGCATGTCATCAAAGAAAGACGGACTAACCGTTCTGAGCTTGCAATTTCTATTTAGAAACGGTACTGAGAGTGCAGGACACCCGGGATTCTCGGGTAACTCACTCAACTGATGTTCCATCAAGCAAATCTCTGTGAAACTCTGCCATTGCATGACCCCCGGAGGATCCATCAGTCCTAAACCCGCGCACATAATTACTGTTCTGCTGTCTTCAGGTGGACTGGATTCGATGTCATTACAACAAATCTCAAGTTTCTCTACCTGGTGCGGTGGCTCGAACTGATAGGATTCATCAAAGGTACCTGAGGAGTAAAGATCCATTAATTCCCCCCAGTGATTAATAATTCTACTAGGGAAACAAACTGTTAAAACATATGTTTCAAATAACGCATGAAGATCCCAGCCAAGAACCGAAAATAGCACACAAAGATGTAGGTCCAACACCTATACCTTCTTCTGTTGAAGGAAAATTACACTTTGCATCCTGTAATGGATGGTATAATCATAATTTGCATCCTGAGACCAACCCCACTACCTTCTCCGGGTGGAATTTTTACATAGTATAGCCACAAAAATACACTTAATCTACATTTATTAGCACTTGAAAACTTCCGGAGAAGAGAGAGTGATATGTGAGTTGAGTAGGATGTTTTCATCTTTTAGATTGTGCATTTTTGTCTAAACAATTTTCTGCACAACATTGAAGCGCACTTTTATGTATCTCCTTCACAGGTATGAAATAGAAAACCACCAAAAGAGGGAAATAAGTTTCTTATCATAGAATGAATTTTAATACTGTAAATTGAACCAGGAATAAAAGTTATAGGATAGGAAAAATCATTTCAACATAAATGTAAACCCATCTGTTTCACAATATATGCTAAGTGAAGTTAATTAGGCTATACACAATAGTACCTAATATTATTTTCATTCAATTTGAAAATGTACGGGTACACAATAAATTTTTTTATTATTTCTTCCTCAGGGTGCGATTAGCTGTACGCGAGGGCACGAGTACTTCCCCATGACCCACCAAATACCTGTTAGCACAGACAAACAGATTAAGCTTAGATATGCTAGTAATTAATGCAGCTAGCATCCTATAATTTCCGAAGTATGAAAGAGTTTAGACACATGAACCAAAAGATCCAGACGGTAATTAAGTAAATCAAAATGTTGTCAACTATCAAACTTAAAAAAGAAGAGCATGGCAAAGCAATGATAATCAATTTTCTGCAGCCAGCCACAAATCCAGAAGGTAATGATAAAGAATCAAATGATTAGCTTCATGGTTTTTTACAGGAGTCTATGAAACCAGCACCAACCAAAACCATGAACAACAACATGAACCAGTGGGATTTCAGGCAGAGAAGACGGTATGGGCACTTAATAATAAAAGCATCTAGCGAGCGTCGGGTGAAGGCATTCAGCAAGGATCGAGCGAGGTCGGGCCAATCTGGGCGAAGGCGTCCGATGAGCGTCGGATGAGGGCGTCGGACGAAGGCGGCGTCGGATGAAGGCGCGGGGGAAGATCTGGGGCAAATATTTGGGAGATCAATTTGGTGAAGGCTCGATTAACCAAGGTGACTCACGGACGAACATCTTCGCTTGACGAGAATGGCAAGACGATATCAAATCTACGAAAAATTTGCAGAATTTTGGACGAGATCGTTCTAGGGTTCATCGGAATCCGATTTGGGGAAGAAATCCACGATTTTAGTTTCTGAGAACTCCAGCGCCGACGCCGTTTGGAACTTCCTCAAGGTTTTTCTTTTTTCTTTTTTTTTTTCAAATCTAAAGACAAACGACGTAGTTTTGGCTCTCCGGCGCTGACATAAAAAAAAAGGTTTATGATTAAATTGGCACAATTATAATAGATTTAAAATTGATTTGATAATTTTCCCTAAAAATTTCCACTGAAGCCCCGTGTCAAATGGATCGTTTTGGAAATTTTTTTTTTTGTCAGTTCTACTCCTACTCCTACTCTACCTCTCATATCACTTTCAGACTTTTGCCCAGCCTCTTGCAAAGCGTGGGAGTCGAAACCCGAAACTCGAAACCCACACATAAAACTACACGTTTCCACCCCTAGCCCCCCTGAGAAGATGGGAAATCGAACTCTACACCTCTTCCTTTTCAAGTGAGAGGGGTGGCCACTGGGCAACCCCCAAGTGGTTTACCGTTCTAGAATTTGATAGGGATGTTATAACCTTCATAATTTTTATATCATCCTCCTCCGTGCTGCTTAAAAAAGCTCGTCGATGGTGCGGGAACTGGTGCAGACAGCAAGCGAGCGAGTTGAATTGTAATAGCGAGTAGAGAGAGAGAGAAGAGAGAGAGAGAATGGCAAAACTGTAATAGCGAGCAGAGAAAGTCAGGCCATGCTATGCTCTTTATAACACCTCCATAAATTTGTTGCTATTTCCATGTTTATGACTCATGGATGACTTGTAAACATGGAAATGGCAATAAATTCACAGCAGAGCTTCGGTTCGTACTCGCAAGCAGATCAAGAATGGCAAAACTCTCGGCCATTGTTAACTCAATTCATGAACATTAAATTCTTGAGACCCGTACCTGTACCAAACCCTCTCTTTCTTACCGTATTGTGGGGTTGCACTCGAACTCTGAATGTGTTTGTACTCGGTACTCCTCTCAAAATATGTTCACTCTTTCCTTCTCTGTATCTTTTAGGGTTTATTTTCCCTCTCGCTTCCTGGTTTTTCAGATAATAATTAACCTGACATCATGGCTACATGTAAGTCTGTATGTATGTATCTTCTTCATGAACAAGCTTACTTTTTGTTCTTCTGATAAATCTTTTCTTTAAGGTTTTGCTAATCTTTCCTTACCTTTTCTTTCTTCTTACAGCACGGGGTACACGAACTTTCTTTCTTTGGCCTGTCATTTGTCCTCCTTTGGTTGATGTGTAAATGGGGGTGTTCCACAGGTTTTGTTTGAAGAAAGCTCAGGCGTGAGCAAGGCGATATTGACAAGGCCCAAGAAACTGAACTGCATCACTTATGAAATGGTACTCAATTAGAAGGAAAGGAGCGCACAAAAAATCTGAATAGCGAATTTGTTTCGTAATGCAACGTATGTTCGAGTACAATTGGTGCAAACAATGCGAATTAATGCATCAAATTTGTTAATTCTCCAGTTTTTAAAATGTGAAAGAGGAACGAAAATAGCCATGAAACAATACTCTTGCAATGCATTCATTTCTGAAGAATTAAATACTTGTCACTCCACATCTACAGCTAATTGGATTGGAAACCATCCCAACATCAGCAGATTATTAACTATAAAAACTCGAAAAACCTAACAAATGCCTCATTTCTTGGCGGCATCCAGAGCCTCCCTGATCTTGAGCAACACGAACGCGTCCACGCAAGTGTACTGGACTTGCGCACTAGTAAGCCATAACTTGTTCCATTGGCTCAAGGTAATCCGTTTCAGCTTCTCTATTTCCCACCCTAATATCTCCTGCGCGAGGCCCTTCAGCTCGATCACACCCTTACGCGCCTAGTCATGCAGGTCCTTCACATTGGTCACATTGAGGCCGTGGTGGTTGACTAGCTTCTGGACGTTATCGTGGATTCCAACCCCGACAAAGACGTAGGAGCAGTTGCCGAGGAAGTCGATGAGGGACTGGGGGATGCCAAGCTCATGTTGAAATAGGAAAATCAGACAACGCATGCCCACTGCAATCTGCAGGAGTGCAACTGGGTTGTCTTGGTCATGCAAGTTGGGAAACCATCCGATGTCCAGACCGATGATGTGGAGCCCCGAGTTGCGGGACGAGCTAACGTCGTGGAGCTCAGAGCTGCAGGACGTGAGCCAGTCGGTTGCGATGGAATGAGAGTGGGTGACCATGGTCTGAATGATGTAGTCGTGGAAGGTTAACTCTAAGGATTATATGTACAATTGGACATCATATGCCAAATAAAGCATGTCAAGGACGCTTGAAAACCTTGTATATTCATCAATGGGAAACGTCCATCTGTGTGTGTATTTGTGGGTGTGTGGACCCGAAAGATATACTTTTTCTAAGGTCAGTGATCAAGTAGTAAATGCCATAAGTTCAACCATCACTCAAGAGCTCCCCCACAAAAGGAGGATGGATAGATGTGAAAAGCTTTTTTTGCTGTATACGTTAATATCATGCATGGGATCTCCTCATGAGAGAGAGGGAGAGAGAGAGAGATGGTATGGGGGACCAATATGGATCATAGCACTGTAACTTTTTTGATGTTGTTGCATATTCCCGTGAGACCAAAAAGAGTGACTTCTTTTCGTTAACTGCCTTTCGTCCACTAAATAGTTGGAGCTCAGCTCGCAGCAACAGTGATGAGGATGGAAAAGAAAGGGAGGAGGAATTGTCTTAATCTCGTCATCGATTCATCATCAAGAGCATCATCAAAGCACCATCAGAACGACAATGCTTGAGAGAGAGAGAGAGAGGGTTATCATTTTTGCATGTGCATGTGAGTATAATGAGTGCCAATGTCAGTCCATGCATGTGAATTTGTGGGGATTGTAAACAAGTGGGGTATTCGTTTTAGGGTGCGTTTGGCAACCATTCTGTGCCCGGGATCTGATTCTGCTCACAAATGATTCTTTTTTATTCTGTACCCGGGAATCGATTCTAAGCATTTGAAGACGTTTGGTAATAGCCCAAAATTTCCATTTCTGGAATGGAAAAAGAACAAAAATACGTTTAGTAAGGCACAAAATTTCTTTTTATTAATAATATTTTAATAATACTTTTTAAATATTTTAATGTTTCTTTTTTCTTTTCTGTTTTTTCTTCTCCTCCTTCTTGGCCATGGCATGGTCGCCGACGAGCGCAAGGCCTGGACCCTCGCAGCCTGGGCGAGGGTCGCCCTCGCCCAGGCCACCAATGGCGAGGGCGGCCTCGCCGGCCTTTTCCAGCCCTTGCCCGAGCCGGCGAGGGCCGCCCTCGAGGCCTGCAGCCTGGGCGAGGGCCGCCCTCGCCAGATCTAGCGAGGGCTGGATTTTTGCTACCACTCTCACCAGATTCGGCGAGGCCGGCCCTTGCCCAGGCCACGAGCCTCAAGGGCGGTCCTTGCCAACTCGAGCGAGGGTTGGAAAAGGCTGGCGAGGGCGACCCTCGCCCAGGCCGCAAGGGTCCAGCCCTCGCCTGTGTTGCCAGTCGCCGATGGCCGGCCAGGCAAGACGAAGATGAAGAAGGAAAAAAAAAATTCGTTTTCCAAATCTAATTCTTGTTCTTAGAATCAAGAAGCTACTTTTTTTTTGCTTTTTAATTCTGTTTCAAAACTAATTCTGGGAATAATTTTTTGCAAATTTATGCCCGGGAATAAAAAGTTTACCAAACGGATTTATATTCCAAAACTAATTCTGAAAACAAAAGAACAGAAATTTTCACTATTTGGCAACTTGTCAAACGGGCCCTTAGTGTCGCTTTTGCTTTTGTTTAAAGTGTTGAAAGCGAGGGAAGAGTGCATGGCGACTCTCTTGTTGCTTGTTGCTGCTGCTGTAAATTTGTCAGGGTTTCGTCTTTGATTTTTGGGTTGGAGTGCATGTGTATACTTTGCTTCCGATTTTCATTTTTACTTCCTTTTGCCCCATGTGAAAAGCCCGTCAACCCAACTTAGTGAAACATAAGCAAAAGAACACTATAAGTGCCATAAGTTGTGTACATCGCTCACTTTGGTGCCAATTTTTTTTTTGGATCACTTCAGTGCTAAATTTTTTGAAAAACGATCACTTAAGTGCCAACTCCGGTGCCGTACACAACTTTTCGCCGGAAATCCGACGTGGCATTTTTTTTTATTAATTTCCGAAGCTAACGTGGCTAGCCGGAGTTGGCACTTAAGTGATCGTTTTTCAAAAAATTTAGCACTTAAGTGATCGTTTTTCCTCCAATTTGGCACTTAAGTGAGCCGGCGAAAACTTTTGACACTAAAGTGAGCGCCGTACATAACTTGTGGCACTTATAATGTCATTTTGCCGTGAAACATGCTATCATGATATGAGCCCCTTTTATGTTTTATGCGATTTCTTTTCTTTTGTATCGATATCTTTTCACAATTCACCACAGAAAAGAGCTAGATGCAATACAAATCTTAATAAAATGTATTGAACAATGTGACGAGGTTTAATTGAATGTGGAATAAGTGACATCCGGGAGTTGGATAATCGATTTCCTTGAAACTCCAACAAAAAATTACCACATCATTAAATAATCAAATTTTAATAACGTTTCATTGTGTATATGTTGCATTGCCCAACACGGGAATTCCTAAATTTATAGGGGAAATGTAACCGAACCGGTGAAGATCACAAACTCCATTGATTGGCAAATGGGCTCTCGTTAGCCGCCCTGAGCACCTTTAAGTGTTCAAATATTTAAAATTAAGTAGGATTCACCGATAAATGATCATCATTATAATTTCAGATTTTGCGTAATTGGGTAGAAGATTAAGAGATTTACAGCTCAAGAACCGAAGGTCACGCGTCTAAATGCCATCAATTGCATGTAAACTAGGGTTGTGCAAGAAAAAACCCATGAAACCGGCACAATTGGATGTGGCGGGATAAGTTTCAAGTAGATATTAGAGAGCGCACGGTAGGTTTTAAATTTTGAAATTTCGAAATCGCCAAATACAAGATTGTTGACACCCAAATTTTGCCTATTCATTTAGAGTTTAATTGCATGAAAATTTAGGGATTGATTTTTAACCCCTAAACAAAAATATTCTCATTAAATTCCATGGCACATAGATATTAGTTGTCTTTGCATTAATATAATTTAGTGAAACATGTATTCCTTTTATTCTATTTTATTTTTATTTTATTAAAAAAATAGTCATTAGAAAAATTTAAAAAAAAAGAGAGAAGACAAAAGGGGACGCTATCTTTCCCATAGACAGGCGCCCTCCCTCTGCACACTTACACCCAAAAAGAAAAAGGTGTTCAGCCACAATTCGGAGAAAAACAGAGAAAGTAGAGAGGAGTGAAGGGAAAAAAAAAAAAACAAAGAAGGAAGGAAAAAGACAAAAATGATGAATGAAGCCTTTTCCTTTCTTCTTCCCGGACTAACACAAGGGGATTTGTTTCTCTCTCTTTCAACACTTTCACAAATAAAGAAATAAGTGAGAAAGGACAAGAAAAGGGGGCTGCATGTTTTCGTGAGAAAAAAAGAGAGAAGAAAGCAGAACACGAAAAAAAAACAAGAAAGGAAATGGAGAAAAGCTTTACGGTCCCGAGGCTTAAAAGAAAAAGGAGAAATCGCAGAGAGGAGAGCACCAGATCGAGAAAGGAAAAGCCAAAGAAAAGACGAGAGAAACACTTCTCTCCAGAGGATTGAGACGAAAGCCTTTCTTTCTCTCGCTCTCTGGTCTCCATCCACGGACACACGAAAAAGGCAACACGATAATCTGCACATGAAAAGGGGGAGTCAAGATAGAGTTTCACTGGAGAGAGAACGGGGAGGATAAAGCTTGATGAGCAAGAGAAGAGGAAGAGGACGGAGGGGGGAGTTTTTGAAAAGGAGAAGAGAGAGTTCTGAGAGAGAACTCGAGAGAGCTAAAGGGGGGGATAGGAGATGGAGGAGAAAAAGGAAGAACATGGAAGTTACCGAGAAGAAAAAACAGAGACAGGGAGGACAGTTCAAAAAGAGAGAACAGAGGTGAAACCGTGAGAGAATAGAGAGCGGGGAGAGGGACCAAGAAAGAAGAAAAAAAAAAAGGGAGAAGAGTTAACAGGGAGGAAGGTCTGTTTTGGTGGGGGGCTCCTTGAAACCAAAGAGAGGGGGGGAGCTTGAGGCACGAAAGGGAAGAAACAGATAAGAAAGAAGAGTTGGATAGGAGATGGAGAAGGAAAAGAGAGATCTTTGGGGGAGAGTCTAAAAAAAAAAAGGCACAAAAGGGAGAGAATAGAGAGTAGTCAAAGAGAAAAAAAAAAGGAGAGAGTTTCAAGAGAGAAAGGGGAGACCGAGAGAAAGTTGAAGTGAATCGGAGAGGCTCGAGCCTCCTCCGCTCGCCGGAGGACCGTCTGAACCATCGCCGAGCCCCCCCAGCCATCGTGCCTCGCTCCGGTCGACCGCGAACCAGGTGGGTACTTGCTCAGGTCCCCCGTTTTTGCTTCCCCTTCCCCTGCCTCTCGGGTGCCGGGCACACCGAGCCTATTCGGTGGTCGCCCGGCCCCGTCGACGGAGATAAACATTTTTTTGGCACCCAATGAAGTTGTTCTAAGTGTTATATGTTGAAAATCAACCGTAAACTTCGTCGAAATCGGATCTGGGATCCCATCTTTCAAACGCTCCTCACATGTTTGATGAAATGCCCGAGTGAGGACCGAAACTGAAAAAACACGAAAACAGTCCGTAGAACCGTTGATTTATGCTTTATTCGTTGGAGATTGATGTTTGGTCACTGACTTCTTGATTTCGTGTGATTTTATGGCATGTTAACTCCGGTACGAGTCGACCATGTGTACATTCCGTACCCGCCGGAAAGCTTTTCGTTGCCGGAGCGATGCCCGCGGTTGAGGCCGCCCCCCGTTAGTTTTCGATCTTTGCTGCTTGTCTGTATGTTGGGTTGTTTGGTTTTAGCGCGTTTCTTTGGGGCTGAACGTTGGACGGTCGGAAAGTGTATTTCGAGTCGCCGGCGAGGAAATGTGGTTTTTCTCCAAGTCGCCGGTGCGGTTGCCGGAACATCGACCTTCGGCGACGGCGTAAGACCAGCGTCCGCCATTGACGTTGGCGGCTCGAGTCGACGGCCGGCGGTGGGCTTCCTCGGCGATGGTTATCTTCGGTGATGTCTCGGTGAGTTCTTGGTTGAAGAAGCAAAGGAGAAAACGTTCTGGGGAAGACGTGCATGGGAAAGGCACGAAGGGGATGAAGAAGAGTAAT